AAGAGTAAATATCCCAGAAGCTTGTAATACTCACATGAACTAGGTTAAAGTTTGAGCAACATTTATTCACTTGCAACAAGTGAGATGTGCTTTTGTCAAATTATAACTGCTGTGTGAAGACGACAGGTGAGTAACAGAAAACTACAATGAGCTGCAAAGACCGTGCAGCTTTCTATTTACAAATTAAGCTCAGGTCTCTAAATATGTGGCGACCACAATAGAAAACATGTCAGTATTAGCAGGCTACGTGACACATGACTAATCTCACAAAATGTAAAACCAACACAGGCGAGACTTAACATTGGTTCAACTCCTGGTGGATCCAGCTCAAACTGTAGTCTGAACATGTGACTGTTGACCTGAGATCTCATCGTAGACACATGTAACATAGATATGAGATGTTTTTGAAGATTAGAGAGTCTTAATATGAACGCAGAAGCTTATGTAGCTGCACTTCCTTTATAGAAGTGTTCACATCTCTGAGTGTTTGAGGTTCATATAGAGCAGTGCAGTCCCTTTCTTCAGTACAGGATTTTGTTCTGCCTGTAGCAGTTGCTTCTTGACCAGTATGGCCAAATGGAAACTGTGCTTTGTTCTGCTTCTGCCACTAATGGTGTCTTCTGACAACGAAGGTAAGAAACTCATTTCCATAATGTAACATTCATGCGGGTTGTTTTTCACTAATCTTCCTGTCTTTGGTTCAAAGAGGATTGCTAACTGAGACTGTATTTTGTATAGATTTTTGAGTGTAATTGATTGCAGAGACTCTCTTGATAATGTAATTTAAATAAAACAAACACAAAGTCATTCAAAAGCACTTTCCCGTTTGCAGTGACACTTGTAAAAACAATTGGGGGAGAACCAGATGTCACTCCAATATGCACCAATGAAACACTGAGTATCCTCACACTGATAGTATGTAAGATCAGAACAGAGAGGAGCAGGGGAGAAGAGTGTCATCTGCTGTATCAACATGGACAGGACTTTGTGCACGAATGTGACTCCAGGTTCACACTTATGACAGAGAATCAGACTGTGTTTCTGCACCTGACCAGTTTAACACCAGAGGACAGTGGGAACTACACCTGTGAATGTTCACTTTGGGAAGGAACATATATTCTCCATCTGAATATCACTGTGGAAGGTAAATTAAAATAATAATAAAGTATTTTTTTTTCTATTGTCAAAGCTTTGTCCATGGCTTAATGTCTGTAAAATGTATATTTCATAAGTCAGGTGAGATAGTGTGCAGATACAAAATACTGCATGTGGTTATGTAAAGTATGTTTTCAATATTATGATGCATTTGACTCACAAATGTAAGTAATACAATAATATATTTGACTGAACAAGAACAGAATTATAATGCTTCTTTAGAGAAAACGTCAGTGTCATTTTTACTGTTTGTCTTAACGTTTTAGAGGATGAAGACATCAGCAGTTCTACACAAATGCCAATTCCAAGTGCTTTGACTTGTGTTTTAATGACTATATTCATCATTATGACTGGAGTTATTCTGGGATTTATCCACAGGACAAAAAGTAACGGGTGAGAGACCATTATAAATGTAACAGTTTTTGGATTTGGATAATTATTTTCGATAGGAAAAATGTATATGTATGTGTTTCAATGTTGCTTTTGTATCTGCGTGTGTATTTGGTGTCCCACTAACTCTGATATCTCTTCTTATTTAGAGACTGTTCCAGGTCAAACACATCTGGATCACCTGTAGGTGAAAGTCCCAGCTCTTTGGTGATTAATGTATTCTATTCAATATCGCTAAACTCAAAGCAGCCAGTTTAATGTTTGTAATTATATATAAATACATTGATTTTAGGCCTTTAGCTGATGATCTTGCATAATAAATGATGGAGCATTATAAACATAATTTAGTTTAGCTCAGAAAAACATGATGCATCATTTTTTTTATAGGGTAAAGATGATCCTGATGACCCCTACACAAGTCTTCAGCAGCCAGCAAGTGATCTCTACCAAACTATCTCAAATCCAGCCAGAATTATAGCGACTGACCACTTGGACACCCAGGAAGTTGATCAAAGTTACAAAATGCATGAAAACATTAAAACCAAAGAATAAAGATAACAAAGATGTTTAATATGTGGATGTGTGGATGTTCTTAAAGTATTTGGACGAAGTCCTTCAGATCTTTGAGATGATCAAATATATAACATTTTTATATAGCTATAAGGTTTTTGTGATGTAGAATGTTTCCATTAGACTATTGGTGATAGTGCAGTGGATAAGACACATGTCTTTAACCTGGGTTTGAATCCACTGTGTGAGACCAATGTGTCCCTGAGCAAGACACTTAACCCCTAGTTGTTCCAGAGGCGTGTGACCTCTGATATATATAGCAACTGTTACTTTGGATAAAAGCATCATTATTACATTCATTTAGCTGACACTTTTATCTAAACTAACTTATAAGTGTTAAATATATCAAAGGTTGCACGGCTCTTGCCTTTAAGTGTCTTGCTGAGGAACACGTTGATGTGTCTCAGTCAGAATGGAACCCCAGTCTGCATGTGAATGCGTTGCTTTTATGGACAAAATAAGCAAGAAGATTTTGGTTTGATATGGATAGGTACAATGGCTGTTTGTCGATAAACAGGAGAGGGAAAATACTCTCTGCTCAGTACTTCATCATACAGCAGAACAGAGTTCTGAATCGATGCTATATTTGAGCAGAAGCCTGTTTTAATACATGTTGGTGTGTTAGCCAGGTTAACATACCTTAAGCCACCTACAACCGTATCTTAATATAGAAAAAAGCCCAGTGACTTGAATTTGGTAATGGCTGCCTTTTTTAACAATTGGCCTCAGCACCTCCAGTTCTTTTAAGTTGTTGCAGGGGCTGCTAGTTTGTTCATAAATGTTCTGTATATAACTATTGAAGTGATCGACAAGTCAAGAAATGCAATGAAGTTTATAGAACATAACGATTAGCACAATATTGATCGTATGTACAATTGTTAAAATTTCAAAATAAAATGATTGGAACTGTATAATTGCTAACTGAAAAGTAAATGTCCCATATCCTTGTAATACTTTTTTCATTGCTGTTACTCAACAGATTCTTACTAGATTCATGAACTAGGCCAGGGGCAATTCTAGGATCAGACTTTTAACCCTATTGCCAACCCCTATTGGCAATGTAGCATGCATACAATGCCTTGCAAAAGTGTTCATTAATCAGTGGAGAGTATAAGTAGGCCTACTAGAGAGGAGCTGGTGCAGAGCAGAGCGGGTCAGACAAGGGCATCACTTTGTGTTGAACATTTGTGGGAACATAAAGGCTCAGATTAGGGGGGTGATGATACATGTGGGGCACGAGAACAAGATAAGAAGATTTGTAGCACTATTTAGATTATCAATTAACATCTGATGCAGAAATATATATGGTTCTTCCCCAAGAGATTTTGAGCATTAAACTGATAATTTCCTGCATTCTGGAGACATTTTCTGCTCCAACTTACAGTGGAAATGTCTATTTATATATGAGGGGAAAATATATTGCATTGCATGTTTTCTTATTGTTCAAAATAAACCTTTTCTCAAAGCATTTCCATTTGTTAGTTAACATTTCTTAGTGCAAGGCAGTTAAACTCCCCCCCCCAAACTGTCTTTTGAAAATGATTAACAGTTGAAAAACATTGATTAGAAATTTAGAAAAGTAATGAAATGTGATAAATTAAATTACTTTGCGAGAGTAATTCAAATAGTTTACCTAGGCTACCATTACATTTTGAATAGGGTAACTTGTAATCGGTAACCTATTACATTTCCAAAGTAACCTTCCCAACACTGCCCACTGTTACTGCAGTTTAATGTTTGTGGAATATTTCCATTTATAAAATCCATGTACAAGAAAAGCAGTCTACATTGTACTCTAATGAATTGATGCTAAGTAAATCCTGCCATCTTGGCAACTGGTCCCCTTGCGCTGCTGTTCCTCTTGTTTTATTAGCGGGTGCCGTTGACTTATGTGGACGTTCTTCTGATTGTATTTGGACAAAGTCGTCTAGTTCTTTAAGATTTCCAAAATGATGACATTTTTGTTTAAAGGTTTATGTGATATTGGATGTTTTCCTAAATATTGAGATTGCAGTGTTTGTTAAAACAGGCCTGCTTGTGAACACATCTTTTTCATGGACAAAACAAGCAAGAAGATTGTGATTTTGATACTAATGGGTACAATGGTTTATAGTCGTTGAGAATGAAACTCACCAAAGGCTGATAGTTATAATTAGCACACACTCCTTGTTTTGAGTGATGTCCAGTCATCACCAAAGTAGAGTCTGTTCTGATTCTCACAAAATGTTTGAGGTAATGTCATTAAACTTTACAAATAGAAGAGTTTGGGTTGTGATGTCAGGCTCTGCACAATGTTGTTTATCAGAATAAAATGTTTTCCCAAAAGCTTGTAATAATCTCATGAACTAGGTTAAAGTTAAAGTTTGATTCTTCATTTGAACGTTAATTCACTTGAATCAAGTGAGATGTGCTTTTGTCAAATTATAACTGTGCTGTGTGAAGACGACACACTTGTTTCCTTAAGATGGAGGTGAGTAAAAACTACAACAAGCTGCAAAGACCGTGCAGCTTTCTATTTACAAATTAAGCTCAGGTCTCTAAATATGTGGCGACCACAAAAGAGAACATGTCAGTATTAGCAGGCTACGTGACGTATGACTCTCACTAATCTCACAAATTGTAAAACCAACACAGGAAAAACTTAACATCGGTTCAACTCCTGGTGGATCCAGCTCAAACTGTAGTCTGAACATGTGACTGTTGACCTGAGATCTCATCGCAGACACATGTAACATAGATATGAGATGTTTTTGAAGATTAGAGAGTCTTAATATGAACGCAGAAGCTTATGTAGTTGCACTTCCTTTAAAGAAGTGTTCACATCAGCTCATATCATTGTGAAAGTCTGGGTTCATGTAGAGCAGTGCAAAGAGGTGTGTCTGTCCCTCCCTTCAGTACAGGATTTTGTTCTGCCTGTAGCAGTTGCTTCTTGACCAGTATGGCCAAATGGAAACTGTGCTTTGTTCTGCTTCTGCCACTAATGGTGTCTTCTGACAGCGAAGGTAAGAAACTCATTTCCATAATGTAACATTCATGCGGGTTGTTTTTCACTAATCTTCCTGTCTCTGGTTCAAAGAGGATTGCTAACTGAGACTGTATTTTGTATAGATTTTTGAGTGTAATTGATTGCAGAGACTCTCTTGATAATGTAATTTAAATAAAACAAGTCATTCAAAAGCACTTTCCCGTTTGCAGTGACACTTGTAAAAACAATTGGGGGAGAACCAGATGTCACTCCAATATGCACCAATGAAACACTGAGTATCCTCACACTGATAGTATGTAAGATCAGAACAGAGAGGAGCAGGGGAGAAGAGTGTCGTCTGCTGTATCAACATGGACAGGACTTTGTGCACGAATGTGACTCCAGGTTCACACTTATGACAGAGAATCAGACTGTGTTTCTGCACCTGACCAGTTTAACACCAGAGGACAGTGGGAACTACACCTGTGAATGTACACTTTGGAAAGGAACATATATTCTCCATCTGAATATCACTGTGGAAGGTAAACACGTTCTATGTATTTTACTTCTTATAATAGCTAAATTTAAGCTGTTTACTTTCCACTGTGTTAGCATTGTATTGTATGGTAATTATGTTAGTATTATGCTTACAGTACAGTAATTAGGCCAACTAAGTTCAGTTTAATTCTTAGCTTTGATTTACAGATGTCAGCAATACAGTATTACATGGTACTGTGTACAGAAGATAATTTCTCTACAAATAGAGCAAATACCAGTGTCATTTTTCTGACTTTTTATCTATAATGTTTTTAGAGGATGAAGACGCCAAAAGTTTAACACAGATGTCCATTCCGAGTGCTCTGATTGGTGTAACTATAGTCCTCATTATGGCTGGAGTTATTCTGGCATTTATCTACATAGGAATACGTCATGGGTAAGAAACTACTACAAAATTCATTACCATCATTACTATTTTTAAGAATGCTTCACAGCTCAATAGCAGTGGACGATCTTGAATAATACAACTCCATTTCGGTGAACAAATGTTACCTTAACCTTGAGTTAATGTACATGCAGCATCTTCAACACCAACTGTCTTGTCTAACTCTTTTATCACCTCAAACACAATTATCAGACATTGACTTGACTCAAAATGCACAGCAGTCATATCTATTGTGATCTGACCTCTAGCTTCAAGCAGTGACACAACACACGGTCTTTCATTTCTTGTCTTGTCTCTTGAAATAGAAATAGACTTTTCAATGTACAATTTATAAGTGAATAAACATCAAGTTTCATTGCTAATGTGTTGTTGTTTCACCACAACAGAACACGACCGAAACCAGTGAGCAGTAATCCAAATATGGTAGGCAAGTGTACAGAAAAATTTTCTTCATTCATGCAATTGATTTAACTTCAGTTGTTATTCTTTTAATACATATGTCTTTCTGCAGGAGCCACACGACATCGAGCCATACAGCACCTTCATGCAGAGAGAGAGCGGGCTTTATTCAACTGTCAGACTGCATGTCGCTAACACTAATACTAATAATTCAAACACATTTACATAAGAGGACACACATGCCAGGAAGTCTTTGTAGAGCTCCAGTTATACTGGAGTATAGTAGGTACCCATGTGAAACAGGCTTGTTGTCCACAAGGTGGCACTCTTTTGCTATGTGACAAGTTCTGTATTCTTAACAGTGTATTTCACACACTGAAATTTTAATGTGTAAAACTGAGCACAGGGCTGTACACTGATATTATATAATACTTTATTAATGAGCAGAATTAACTAATGAATAGTAATGAATAATAAAGCAAATAAAGGTTAAAACAAGTTGTTGCTTGTAAAACTTTATAAATTTTATGGGACGACAGAGTCACCAGCTGTATGTAGCTAAGAACCACTCTGCATGGATGTGACTGTTTCAGCAGGTACAGGAACCTTTAGAGTGGAGTAATTGTTTGATTTTTCCTGATAAAAAAATCATGATGGGTAACAAATCCTTGCAGTGAAACCTAAACCTTTGCTTGGAATAACTCAATATAGATGATTTATATCAATTAAGAAATTATATCAAGCACAGAATAGGTGCCTGCCTTATACCATAGCCTGATGCCCTCTTATTACCATTTGTTATTTATGCCATTGTTTTGATGTATAGGTTTGGTTTCTATGTGAATGTTGATCTTGGATTATGACATATATGACTGAATTTGTCACAGTTACAAGCAAGGTAACAGGAATGCAAGGTACTGGACCCAAATGCAGACACCAGAGGCAGAGGAGTGGAAGTTTTAATAATGAAATCAAAAGGTGCAATGTTTACAGGGATGATGGAGCAGGCAAAGGTCAAGTCCAGAGAAAGAGAAAGCAGTGCAAAATAAGCAAACAAATCCAAAGGAGCAAGAAAACAATGATTCAAAACACAGAGAAGTAAACACTAGGAATAGCTGGAACGCTGCACAGTATGGACAAAAACGATCTGGCACTGAGACAAGAGAACATACAGACTAAACACACTGGGGTGGGGGGGGGATTAATCAGGGCACCAATCATACAGGCGGGAAAACACACAAAGTAGTTAAGCATGAAACATGGGAAGAGGTGAGTATTTTAAAATGCATTAGGAAATAACTAGGCTAAAACCCAAACCATGACAGAACTGGTATAAACTACCTTAAACCCAATTAAGGGAACACATATTACTCATTTAAATAATAAGAAATTGTGTCTGATAAAACATAGACCCACACTAACTATATTTCACCACTTGTTTTGATTAAGACTAATCCACAGCGTGACCTAAATTTCTTTCATTTTAATTCTACAATATCTAAACATTTGTTGTTGTTTTTCCTCTGGTGATCCCCTGCCAACACATTATTTACAGTATTTACAGAGGAAGTAAGACTAGGTCACACGCTTGTTTGTGAGCATTGTTGTTTTCTCTTCTACGCTCTTAAGTTAAATTTCTTTTGGTTACACCAATCTGAGTTTGGGACAGGCCTGTCTCCATAGATTATTAAGTGTAGTTATAAAAGGTCAAGAGCATAGTTTCCTTTACCACCTTTTAGTGAGATTTAAGGGAAATTACTCAGCTGTCCTGACTGGAACAGCAAATTCAGCAACTGCATTACAAGGTCTGCGTTATTGTTTTTAAAGCAAGCATTAATCCAGTTGGCTCCAGATGACTTGCACCCCTGCACATTTGCTGCAATGACACCAATGTAATGAGCACTCATTTAAAATAGAACCCTTACTTAGATTGTTATGATCAAAATAACAATAACAATAATATATCTGAATGGCATATTAAGTGTTAAAAAGGTAAGAAGAGAGCGCAATCATTTGGCTTAAATGAAGTGATTTCTATATCAAGCATTCAATCAGCAAAAACACTTCTTTATTTCACTTTCCATTTACTGTACATGTCTGATAAGCATAAACCAACTGGAAATTTGAAACACCCTCTTCTGTTAAAAAGACTGGTCATCATTACACAGAATGTCTTTGAGGTGCTATTGTGGGTTATTGTTGAGTATTTCTGCTACTTTTTACTGCACTACATTTCAGAGGGAAATATTTGCGTATTTAACGCATTTTAGACGAAAACTACCTAACAGTATTTAAGGAACTAAAAGTTACCATGGCTGTCACCAGCTAGATCGTTAAATGCTGCTTACATGATATTAGTAATAATCAGACGCTGTGATGTATGATCAGGAATGGGCAGTATTTAATATACTTGTATTTGAAATACAAAATAGGTTTTGTCATTTGCATTTGATAGGGTTGATTAAAATGGCTTCATATTTTTTTTATCAAATTACTCGAGTGTTTTGTATTTTGTAGTTTAAAAATACTGTAAAATGCACTAATGTGAGAAGTCTATGTGATGATGATGATGATGATGATGATGAAAAATGCTGCCTCTGATTAGTGCTCAGTAATTTACCCAGACTTGAGATGAGTTGAGACCAGAACAGAAAATGGATCTCCATTGATTTTTAGCATAAACTCCTCCAATTCTTAACAGTTCCTGTTAGGTTTGGGTGTTTGTTTTAGTAGCCTAGGCTAAATAATTTACCAATGTATGTAATGTTCTTTCTAACTATTTGACCTGAATAACAGCCCTCACAGTTAACATTAGCTGGCTACTGTCAGCCTATGTTTTGGCCGTGCACAAACAAAATAATCAAGTGTTTCAGAGTTGCAAGCCTACAACATTAATTCATAATTTCACAAGGTGGTGTAACAACTCAACCTCAAACTCAAGGAGTGTTAGTTTTCAGGCCCGGTGCCGTAATGACAACCACAATCGCAGCCGGGCTGGATACAAAAGCGGGCCCAACAGCCTCCAGTTTGACAACAGGGAACACAATGAGGTTATGTACAGTAGCCCCAACACGCCGGGTTCAGGCGGGAACAAGAGAGGCATCAGTGAGAGATGAGCAAGTTTGTTGCAAGTTAACTTGTAAGTAACATTACACATCATCTATCGTGTTGACGTGTGTGACCTTACACTGTGTGGCTGGTTGTTCCGACACATTCTGAATAATTACTGATTGTTGTTAAGAGCTGGCTTGCTTCAGTACATCTTAAAGAGGCTGAAATTCCAAAACTTAAACAAAAATGGGTTGGACAAATATTCTCAGCCCCAGGCAGTGGAGCAGCTAGAGGGGTCAGCATTTTGATTGCAAAAAATATTTCATTCAGACTAATAGAACAAATAGTGGACAAGGAGGGGAGATATATCATAGTTTCAGGTTTTTTACAAAAGCAAAAATGCACCATAGTTAATATTTATGCACCAAACTCGGGACAAGTGGTATTTTTATCATCCATGAATGTACTTTTATCAAAGTTTGTTGGAGATCCCATACTGATGGGAGGAAACTTTAATCTGGTAAATGGTAGATCCCATGGTAGATCGTTTAAATCATCCCCTCCCATCGGATAAGGCTCTTTCAGCAGCTTTTAATGAACTGAAAGATACATTGGCATTAACTGATGTTTGGCGTCTTACTAATAACAATAGTCGTGAAAATACATTTTACTTCAAGGTACATAATTCATATTCACGAATAGATTATTTGCCTAAATCAAAGGTGTTAGATTCTCAGATTCATAGTATTATAATATCAGATCATGCACCACTGTCAGTTACCTTCTCTCCTTTAGTCAATATACACAAAATCAAACACTGGAGATTTAATAACTCTTTTGAAAGATCAAGAATTTATTATTAAAATAAAAGAGAAAATGGCTGTATTTATTACTATTAATCTTAATTCAGTCGGTCCAAGTGATATGGGAAGCTCTTAAACCTACATGTAGAGGATGGATAATAAGTTATTCCACCGCAAAGAAGAAGAAATTACTTGATAAAAAGAAGAATCTAATGACTGAACTTCGGATTTTAGAAAGAAAGCATATGCTTGACCCAAAGAATGCTACGCTCAAGAATTCTTTATTATTCGTAAGAGCTGATTTGAAAGCAAATTTACATGATGAGAAATCTTTTGCTTTATTTCAATTACGTAAGAAGTATTTTGAGTCTGAAGATAAGGCCGGAAAAATGCTAGCGTTATTAGATTACGTTAATAGAAAACAAATATTCTATTCATGCAATATATGATTGTAATGCCATAAAGGTAGGTGAACAAAAACAGATTAATTTAGCTTTCTAAGAATTTTATTCTAAATTGTATAAATCTGAATGTCAGGCCACTATTGAAGACATGAATAGCTTTCTTAATAATATATCTCTACCTACCCTAAAGATTGAGGAAAAAGAATACCTGGAAACAAGTGTTCTGGAAATAGAAGTAAAATCTGTCATTAAAGCTCTTTCAAATGGGAAAACACCAGGTGATGATGGTTACAGTATAGAGTTTTATAAAAAGTTCCAGGACATTTTGGCCCCACTTCTTACTATGCTTTACAATGATATCATCTCCAAACAGTATATGCCAAGGACTATGCGATCAGCTATTATTTCTCTTATTCCAAAGCCAGGTAAAGATCGTATGCAAATGAGTCATTTTCGACCTTAAGTCTTCTAAACAACAATTACAAGCTGTTTGCCAAGATCCTTGCAATGTGCCTGGAGAAGGTAAAAGAAGGGATTCTTTAGTACATTTGGACCAAGTGGGCTTTCTTAGAGGCCAGCTAGCCTCAAATAACATGAGGAGACTATCCAACGAAGGTTAAAATCAAGGGCAACTGGACTTGGTTGAAGATACTGGAAGACGTTTTGTCCCTCATCCAAAGGACTTCTTCAGTTTGTGTAGTGGTTTAAAATGAATTTTCAAGGATTTCAAGGATTTTCAACAAACATAACATCCCTGTGTTTTTTAAACCCAAGAACACACTAAGACAGATTCTGGTACACCCCAAAGACCGCACACCCAAACACAAGAAAAGCAATCCAGTGTATGCGGTCCAATGCAGTGAGGAATGCACAGACCTGTATATTGGGGAGACTAAACAACCACTACACAAACGCATGGCTCAACACAGAAGGGCCAACTCCTCAGGTCAAGACTCTGCAGTCTACTTACATCTGAAGGACAGAGGACACTCGTTTGAGGACCACCAGGTGCACATTTTAGACAGAGAAGATGGATGGTTTGAAAGAGGTGTCAAGGAAGCCATCTACACCAGGGTCGAGAAGCCGTCATTGAACAGGGGAGGGGGTCTACGCCACCACTTATCCCCCACTTACAATGCTGTCCTTTCATCACTTCCCAGGAAACTCAACAAACGTAACCTATTAGCCTCAGGTGAAGATACCAACGATGGTCATTCAGTCTTGGCCACAGGTAGTCTTAACGACTGTAACGACTGTCGTCACAGCAACAAGGAACACTAACGAAGCAGCAGTATCGATGACCCGGGATAACGACCCCACTGAGGTTAAATAGCTGAGTTTCCCTGCCAGTCAGTCAGAACTGAAGAAGTCCTTTGGATGAGGGACGAAACGTCTTCCAGTATCTTCAACCAAGTCCAGTTGCCCTTGATCTTAACCTTCGTTGGATAACTATGACTTGGATGACTGAGAATCTTCATAGACATGAGGAGACTCTTTTATGTGATGTCCTGAGTCTCTACTCTTCAGCATCCAGCGGTAGCAGTATCGTTGGATGCTGAAAAGGCCTTTGACAGAACATTTTTATTTCAGGTATTGTCTAAATTTGGTTTTGGACCTACATGTATACAATGGATTAAGGCATTATATCATGAGCCAACTGCTTGTGTTAAAACAAATGCTATAATATCTCATCCTTTCCAACTTTTCAGATCCACACGGCAGGGCTGCCCAGTCTCACCAGCCATTTTTATTTTAGCATTAGAACCACTGTCTTGTGCCATTAGAGCTAACCCAAATATAACTGGTATTGATCTGAATGGTTATGCAGATGATATGAACTTGATGATGAAACTCAGAGAAGCATTTGGCCAACTTTCTGGGTATAAAATTAACTGCAGTAAAAGTGAGGCTATTCCTTTAAATCAGCATACTTTTGCAGCCTACCTTGGCTCAGCATCCTTTATTTGGAAACCTCAAGGTATGAAGTACCTTGGCGTAAATATCAGACGCCCAATTACCAAGATATTTGACTTGAATGCCCTAGTATTTTAAAAAGAATTTAAGAAGATATAGGGAGATGGACGGTCTTACCTTTGTCATTTTGGGACAGAGCAGAGGTGATAAAGATGAACTTTTTACCCAGGCTCTCCTTCCTTATATCAGCTATACCATTAAAGTTTCCTCAGCAGTGGTTCAAAAAAATTGGGAAATTATTTACAAGTTTCTTATGGCGGGATAAGAGACCCAGAATTAACCATAAAAAATTGGCCATGCCAAGAAATAAGGGTGGTCTAGGAGTTCCTAATTTTTATTCTTATTATTTATGTTTTATTTGCTGAGTTGAAAAATCATTTTGGCCTGAATCACTCATTTTTACAATATGCACAATTAATTAAAAATATACACTTCAGGAAAAGTCAGGAATGTACATATTCCATATTGTCCTGTTGTATGCATATTGGGAAAGAGAGTGGAAAATGTTAATGCAGTAATTACACAACGTATTATTACACTAGCCTTCTTATCTGTAAAGAAGATAATTCTCATGAATTGGAAAATTCGTAAACCGGACTGTTTTAACAAATACAACTAGCTGAAAAATTTCCTGGACTTATTATCAATGGAGAATGCAGCCTCAAAACTCAAGGATTATGATAATGAGCTAGGTGCTCCGTGGATTTTCATGAGATTATATGAACAATAGCAGAACGGTAATTTAATTTTGGCCTGCCTTCATTCATAAAATGTTTCTCATACCAGAGTTAACTAGATAAACAGTATACAAATGGTGGTTGGACTTCTGAGTTAGTCTCGTAATATTATACCTTTTTACTCGACACGTCAGAGAACACACATATGTGCGAGAGATTCTGAATATGCAAATAAATTTGAACATTAGCAGAAATAATGCTGAAATACAGTAGTTAATTTGTCATTAATGTGCAACGGTGCCACATACACATTTAAAGAGGTTACTTCCACAAACACAGACACAAAGGAGGAGGAAAGACTTAATCATGTGTGTTGACTCAGCAGGGATTTTATTAACTGAGAAAAGTTGATCACACTGTCAAGGCCGGCCCTGGCTCTGAGCTTGGGTGTGAGTTCAAACGGAGTTCAAAAGTACCTTAGATCAGGAATAGATAATGATATCACCTGCCAGAGGCAAGAAACAAACTTTGTTTGTAAGTTGCAGACAGCTCATGACAGATTTTTAGCCCGATTTGCTGCTCGGCGAGCTTGGCGACCATCAGGCTGTGATCGGAGGTAAATCAGGGGTTGATCTGCGGTCGCCAGTCGTGTGAAATACTCAACGACACATCAAAATGGCTCCCCGACACATTTCTGACACATCATTGACGTCTGGCAGATATCTAGCATGCCAAATATCTGGCGGAGTCGGCCGACTCGACATCCACATCCAGCCAATGAGAGCAGGCAGCTACTTTTTCCACTGCAAAACACTTTTTACTCCTCTCCAGCTCTCTCTGTAGCACAGACAATCCCTGCTACCCGCGTGTGCTAATCCATTCTTTCACACAGATTTTTTGTCTTTATAATTTGTATCTTTATAATAACAAACAACAGCTGTTTTGTGTGTAGGTTCACGTCATTTCCCGTTTCACATTTCACGTGTGTTTTCTTGACAAAACGTGGTTTAGAGACCAGCATTGGGTGACAGAGCCGCTGTCAGCTCGTGTAGTGTGTGACCCCCTGTCACTGATTAGTCACGTAGTGTGAACGCCACAATGACTTCAAGACTCCTGTCACAAGACGGCAAGCTGTGTAGTGTGAACGGCACGGCCGTCAGCCGACGCTGAAAGTGTAGTCTGCACAAGCCTTAACTGGTAGTGTTTTGTGACTTTTTTCTCAACATGTCAGGGAACACAGAAAACCTGCTGAAACATAGGAGCTATTAACGTCCAGGAGTTTCTAATGGAATTTAAATTAATTAATTTATCATTGACGTGAAAAGGTGACAAATGCACATTTAAAGAGGTCTTTTCCCCAAACAAAAGACACAAATAAGAAGGAAAGACTAAATCATGTCTGCATGTGTGCTGAATCAGCAGGTTTATGAATGCGGATGAACGCCGGGACGCACATACTGTGCAGCACATGCTTTATTGTGAGCATGTGCAAAAGCGTCCTATAATCAATTTGTTTAACAAAGGAGAAAGAAATGTCCGCAGTTAGTTGGAATCAATCTTACAACCTTCCAAACGGGAACCCCGTACAGTACCAAGTGCGCTAAAAATAATGTTCACACGAGCAACCCACCAAACTTTGGCATCGGCCATTGCTGGAATTATTTGCCAACCCCTGCCCTAAAGCATACCCCACTCATCTATTTTCCTCTAAATGGGACAATCATTTACATAATGAACATCATGCTGTATTGAAGAAAATTTGGAGCTGTAGCATTTGAGAAAATAAACTTAACATTAGGAAAGTGTTTACTGAGGTAATAAATCAGGTGAGCAGGGTCTTTTTGTCACGTTTAATCTGACTTATTTTTGCGACCAGTGGAGTCGCTCCCTGCTGGCCATTAGAAAGAATGGAGGCTTAGGGCACTTCCGTTGAGGCTTCACTTTTCAGAACCTGAGGTTATTGCTTGGTATGTATGGATAAGAATCATGAAAAGACAGATCAAGCAGTGGCAAGAGAAACTCAATTGAACCCTCTCTTCCAGACACAAACAGACTCAGGAGAATCCAACTTAAACAAAAAAATGGAAGTTGTTTTGCAGCTGACTGGCAGACTGCCACTGTCTACAGCTTGTGCACAGAGATAAGTTTGAAGTGGCCTTGGTACCAAAATAGTACATAGTTTCTAGTCTGATAGATCATAAACTGGGGCTTTGTTGTTGGCACATGTAATGTAACTAAACCACAAGCTGCTAGCAATGCTTTTAGCGTTACCTTCTGGTTTAACATTACAGGTGTCAGCTGTCAGGTAGCACAGGTACTTCCCAGCTGTAGTTTGCAAGGTAATTTTTGCAAATGATCTAACTACCAGCCAATGTGTCTCTATATTTAAAAATAATCATTGCCATATCTTATCATGTAGTAACACACCTATAACCTTACTACTTTGAGTTTTTTAATCTTTATGATTCATACGTGATTCATTTAGGAGTAAATGTAATGTTGAAGATGAAAATTATATTCACTGAGCAGTTCATTTTTGTATTATCAATCAATTTAAGTAGTTTTATTTCAAACCTACATTTTTCCCCCATTGTTGATTGATTACTTACTAATTGTCACATACACTGAAATAACCTTTTTCCACAGACCAGTTAGGTTCTTTCCTGGATGCTTAAAGAGGAATTATCAAAAAAAAAAACTCCCCTCCACACTGTTTGGTAAACAAGATTTCATAAGAGATTTTCACAAGATTTCATACTGATATGGGATTAGTTATCTCACTGCACAACAAACCTACGGAGTCATGATGGGCATGATGGGTCACGCTTCACAACATCTTGGGTTCAAATCTGGTCTGAATCACTTGATAGCATGTGATCCCACCTTTTCCTGCTGTGCTTTTTTGTGATATATCAAATGAATAACACAGGAAAGACTCTCTCTCTCAAACCAAGCATGTACAGTCACTGCACATTTCCTAAAGATTCATTATTACAAATCATAAACATTCCTTGTGTGAGGATATGACAAGAGAGCGTAAGAATGGGCACTGTCACGTTTGAGTTAAGTTATGAGGATTACTGGACAATGACATCATACAACTAAAGGGAATACATTTGTGTAATTTCAATTTTAATGAAGTGAAACCAAGAACTGAATTCACATAACTGTCATACTGACCAGGCTGAAAAGTAGCTAATAGCCAGAAACATTAAGGTTAGAATGGAGGCACAGTTGTTTCCTGTTTAGGTTTCATCACAAACTAAAATACGCTGCCAAAACCTTGTTTTTTTTACATGCTGAACATTAGCAGTCATTGTCCGGAGACTACTCTCAAACCAGTGTTGTTTGTCTGAGGACAGGGAAAGTGGCTGATTGGCAGTGGCGATGGTAAAAGACCCATCATGTTACAAGTGACTCATTACTGCTGAGAAGCCTCATCTCGTTTCACAAAAGAACATTCTCATAGGGGAGGACTTCCCAGCACAACCAGCTCTAGTTGGCTGGAGCGACATGTGTCAGATATCACATGTGTGTTTTTACAATTACCACCGTGACAATTTTATCATTCTCTGTAGGGGAAATGAAGTAAAACCTCGAAACACCAGAAGCCACCAGAGCACGGCATGGGGGATTTCTTTTCACTGCTTGAGATTACTGGAGTTGAAATACAGTAAGTCGCCATTTACTGTATTTTCAGTAGTATTATTAGTGGTGATAATATTAAACAGCTAGAAAAAAAGCAGTGTGAGTTTCAAATGTGGTTGAAATTAGTCTAGGCTGACTTTTCCTTCTCTGCACTTTTGCCTGTTCTAAAGCAACATAAAAAGTTGTTATCTCCTTAATTCAAACCACTGTTATCTCCTGTAGTCTCACTGATTGATTTCAATAATAAATTAGTCCTGTTATCGAATCAATATTTAGTAAGAATATATTTTACCTTGATAGTCCAGCATCATAAATACTGTCTGTATTGATATTTGCTCTGTTGATTCATTTTAATTAGAAGTTGACACATTTCCTTTAAAGCATTAATTCATTCCCAAATTCCCAGATTTACATTTGTTATCGTCAGCCTCATACGTCAAACACTCCAACCTCCACCCACATCAACATCCCCCACACCTCCCTCCCTCTCTCGCTCTTGGACGGACTGCACGCTATCAGTTTCATTTAAGGCAGTTAAGAGGCACTGCTAACAGATAAAACTGAAAGCATTCACTGTACAGCAGTGGAGGAAGATGTTGTTCATCATGATAATTACCGGTTTGTTATTCAAAGGTAAGTGACACTCACAGGAGAGGAGAACTCCCTCTGATTTCAGTCAAGTAATTTTGAATTTATTACTGACTTTAATTGCTCTTGTATAGTTTGTTTTAATTCTATTCTTATTTTTGTTATATACTGTCCATAGCTCTAATCATTTGTTTTATTGTTTTCTATTTATCTGTACTATGCTCTATTTCTAGAGCCCCTCTGGGGATCAGTAAAAAGACTGATGTTATCTTATCCTGTTGCCTATATTCAATATATTTGTAATTTATATGCTACATTATTATATAATATTCTTTAAGTTTCAACTTAATCCATAATCACACATCATTTATTAGTTGATTTATATTTTGCATTAATAATCTGAAGCTGCAAAGTAACCAGTAACTCATGTTGTCAAATAAATGTATTGGAGTAAAAAGTGCAATATTGGATTCCAAAATGTAATGAAGTAAAAGTATAAAGTAGCATAAACTGGAAATACTCAAGTAAAGTACTCCAAAGATGTAATTAAGTACAGTACTTACATCGGTACTCGGTTACATCCCGCCACTGTTCAATGGGCTTGGAAGGATATGTAGATTGTTTTATTGAAGCTAATCAATCTGAATTATTTGTCTATAATTTACTTCAGCTTTTGTGTGTTATTTTCAGCCTCAAAGTCACAGATCACCGGTCATGGAAATACAACAGCTGCCTACGGCGGGGATGTGCAATACAGCTGCGCACTAGCTGATCCGACAGGTGTGAAAGCAACTTTTTTTTTTTTTGAGTTTGATAGTGAAGATGCTCATTATACTGTTGTCCCTCTGGAGTTAACTGTCACAGCTATTTTTATTGTTGAAATTTCTCAGTAATAATTGTCATTCAGAACATTTGCTGGAAATGATCCAACACTGTGGCGTCACTGTTTCCCCACAGGTGTGCTCCAGGTCACGTGGCAGAGGCTTTTCAAGGAGGAGTCTATTGAGAATTTGGCAACATACAGTAAGCGGTTCGGACAGCAAGTAAATGAGCCCTACCGGGAGAAAGTGATCTTCACAGAAGCGTCTCTCAGCTCAACATCCATCACTCTGAGAAACGTCACATGGGAAGACGAAAGCTGTTATATCTGCTCATTCAATGTGTATCCCGGCGGGTCCAAAAGGAAGCAGACTTGCCTCACAGTGCAAGGTAAACTGCAGCAACATCATACATATGAATGGACAGAAATAAAGTAATCACATTCAAGTGATCAAATACTCGTTATATAGCTCACAGAATGGCTGCAGCTCTCCAAATGACATGTTTTCGCTCTCTATAAAGGAATATCTGAGGTGGAAACAGGTGTGCAAGCTCCCACTGGTGGAATCGAGAATGAAAACATTGTGAAGGTTGTGTTTAGCTGCAGTGCCACAGGTAAACCAGCTCCAACCATCCACTGGTCACACTCAGCTGGCGCCATTCCCTTAGACCAACCACAGACTACTACAATAACAAACAGTGACCACAAATATACCAGCAGCAGCAACATCACTCTGGAAGTACCTCAAGGCTGGAATGGGTCTGTGGTTTGTAAGCTGAACAATGGACTGACGGGACAAAGGCTGGAGAGGATCCCCTTTTCTTTGCATCCTAAGGAGGACCCCAATGGTATGCATATAAATCATTTTGTATTGGCGTGCTTGTTATTTTACAGCCACTAATGTGTGTAATAATGCTGCTGTAGCAAGGCATGACAGTAAGAGAGCCGCCCAGGGAATACTAATATTATTCTAGTGTACTGGAAGACTGGTTTCAAGAAAATCCCCAACGGTGAGCATTTGTTACCCATGACAGGAAGTTATTCATAAACAGTGAAATCATGGACACAGGTGAGAGCCATACTGTGTCATTTACAACAAGGAAGTGAGATGCCTAGAAAGTCCAAATACCAAAGAAAGACAATTCCCTGTAGCCAGTGAGCTTGTATACTAATTGTACTCATTGACTGGAAGGGATATCAAACACCCACCACACCCTTTCTATGAAGTGATATCAAGATTAAAGCAAGTTTATAAAAACAACATTTGATTTTAGTTTGCACACTAATGCTGACTACTGTCAGAGCTTAAATACATTAAACGTAATTTCCTTTTAATTTCACTTTATAGTCCACCGAACACCAATTGAATGGACACTGAAGAGACATCATCATTATGCATGCCTAATTGTTTGTGTCCCAATCAATGTCTCATCCATGTCCCATTGTTCACTGAACCAGGAACTCAAGAAAGTCCCTGAAATCCAGTTCATGTAAAAAACAAGGAACCAATAGAGACACAGTAAAGTATACATTTAAGTACGTTATAGTAGAGAGGTCACCTGGGAAAGGCAGTGAATGCACCTTGTGAATGAAAATCTGTTCTCTGCAACCAGCAGGTTGACTTACTGCAAACAGATAGTCTTCTTAAGTCAGCTGGGCGGTGACTCATTCAATTACCTTTCAGTTTCACTTCTGAGTTAGCGTTCAAGAAAAACCCAAAGTCATGGTAAGATGAGTTGTGTTGATAAACACAAGCTCTCTGGGGAGGTCATCTGACAGATTGGGGAAGTGTCATGGTTTTAAAGTAAGAATGCTACCGTAAAATGTTTCTACTTCTCCATTTAGGGAAATGTAATTTACCTCATTCCTGTACAGACTGACCCTGTGTTGTGTTTCTCTAGGTAAGGTACTGTCCTCATCTGGGATTGCACTTGTAACTACTGCGGTAGTTTTTGTTTCCTGCATCCTTGTTGGTGCTGCAATTCGGAAAAAAAGGTGAGACCTTTTAAAAGGTGTAAGATATTTGCTAACAGTAAATATACAGTGGTATAATTCTGTGTGATGTTCTGCCCACTATCTAATCAATCTGCTTTTCTCTCTTCTTGGCAGGTTAAAGGACAGCAGAAGAGATGAAAATGTTTAATGAGCATAAGTAATGTTTGTCCGTAGTGTCACTGTGGCTGTTGAAGCATGCAAGCATTATACAAATCTGCATTTAAACTTTCAAGATGTAACAGTGAATTAAGCTAATAGCTGCTATCCAAGATATTTTTTTTGTGTGTTTTGAAACTGTCCAGTCGACATTTCTTTTACTCAGCACTTTGTCAATGGAGCTTCAAGCTAAACGCCTGTCCAGGCTTTGTAGAATGTAAAACTGCAGGAACTATGACCACTGATTCATAGGAGTAGCCCATTACACGAGCTTCTTAACTGTGAAGTGAAATGAGTAAAAGGTTTACAGAGAGTCTACATTTGAGCATAATTAACCACATGTAGAACTTTAGAGTTAATTTAAGACGTGTTGGTTTTGGCGATAGAAAGGAAAATGTCCAGTGCGAGGCAGTAAACGTCAGACTGGGGATATAGCGCCACCTAGTGGTCGTTGTGGGAAAATAAAGATTTTCATTTATTCATTTAGCTGAAGCTTTTATCCAAAGCGACTTACAGTTGCTATACAACTGTTGCTATATATGTCAGAGGTCGCACGCCTCTGGAGCAGCTAGGGGTTAAGTGTCTTGCTCAGGGACACAATGGTGGATTGAACCCAGTTTTCTCACACCAAAGGCATGTGTCTTATCCATTACACCATCACCACCCAGATAAAGTAAAGAAATGTGGTTTAAATATGGAGATAGAATCAGAATCATAAACACTGTGACACACAGATAATCACAAGTAGGCTCCCTCACACAAAGGAATATAATAGAAAATTTTATCTGTTAAATTTTTTGCACAGGAAATAGAAATTGTTCACTTGATTAAGTGATCTATGAAGTTGACATGTGGCAATAAGGTAATAATTTCAGCCTACAACAAAATGAGGAAAACTAGCCATCTATATAGTTTATATGATATATAATATATTGCATAATAGATATAATGTATCATTTTCTGCATACTATTTTCTGGAGGTAATTTTGCACTTTATTGTTCAATGTTTTTCTGCACTTTAAATGTTATTTATTGCTCATTGGACATCTCCCCTGACAGATTTACTGAATTGTAACTGTGGTGTAGTGTCTAAGGGAGATGGTAGTATTTTTTTCATTCCTGTCAAACTATTATTAACCTGTGTGTTATGTTCATGGACATTCTCCACTATTTCTAATAATCTGGGGTTTTTTTTGTTAATGCCTTTCTAATAATTTATTCTCTGACCTTTTCAGTGTATTTATTTTTCTTCAGATAATTAAAATATGATGTAATGTTATAAGTGATTTCACTTGTCTGTGTTTTTGTGGACCTGCAGCAGTGAAGACGCCTGCAGCAGGGTGGGTAGTAACTTGTCACAAGTAGCCTAATGCAAATTTGCAAAATAAATAGGCTAGCCTAAATAAAATAAAATAGTATAAGTCATTGACACCTTTCACGTTCCTTTTTAAAACTGTAGCTTTTACTCTTTACTCAGTATTTCTTTGGGCCAGTAATCTCCTTTTAATTTTCTCTACATTTTCCATTTATACCTTCATAACTTAATCAGTCTGTAATCTGCATTTGGCTTCATTACCGGCTTGTCATCTTTAACAAGCCGGTAAGTAGCCGTTTAACTGCGTGTTAGAAGCGTTATATTTTTTTTTTCTTCGGCAGAGCAATTGTAGACTGTAACATCTAAGTCTGATGATCACTGGAATGATTCTGATATATTAACAGTAGTCTATCCTGTTGTTGAAAAGACCATTGCTTACCTTTGTCTCTTTACATTGGTTATTATTTGTTTTATTCAATTCAATTCAGTTTTATTTATATAGCGCCAAATCACAACAATAGTTAGGCCTATCTCTGAGCTGTGGCGGTTTTGGGGGGGGGGGGCCTGTAACACAGACCTTGGATATGGTGAACATGAGACTGACAGCAATAGGGCAATGAGGGCAATAGCAAAACACAGTCAAAACCCGTAGAGTCCAAAGCACCAGTTTATGGTAAGATTGATGATGATATGGCTTATTTATTTATTGTATTCAAGGACTCAGCTGAGTTGATTTCTGTACTTTAGGAGAGTTAAAGAGGTGTTTCTAGTTTTTGTATTTTAAAGGCTCATTTAGTTGTGTACTAATATATAAAGGCCTCTAAAGACCCAGAAGCCCTGACAAATGCTTTGACTGGAGAGTGGGCTGACCAAGGACAAACTCCCGGGCCATTTGCTCACCCTTGTCTGTGACCATCCTTGAACTTAAAAATCTGTTACATGTCCATAAACAATTTAAAAGTATCTTTTGTAGGAAGCCTACAAAAATAATATTTATTGAATAGGATACATGAATAGGCCTATTAACTTAACGGAGTCTCAGCGTAAGACATTGCCAAGTCGTTGTCAAGCCAGCATGTGGAAGACTTTGTTGCGCCTAATGTAGAGTTATAATTGTTATTGACGGGCTTTGAGCGTGGAGAAGGTCCTGAAAGATACATGTATGGGTTTTCTGTGTTTAAGTGTTTAGATGGAAATCAACAAATTATTTGTAAAAATGTATTATTATTATTATTATTATTAGGGATCCAAGCAGCAAAGATGTTGTTTTTGTTTTCATTATTATTGTTATTATTATTTATTTATTTATTTATTCTCATTATTTTAATATCTAGATTCATCTGCATCTTTGCTCCAATGGTCTTCTGCTCTAAAAATGTCAGCTCTTTTTATCACTTTTCTCTTAAACCTATTTTTGCGAACTCTTCCCAGACGGTTCGACCTGAAATCATTCAGGGACATTGCTGATCAAAAGTTATCAAAAGACTTTTGATATGTCATTCTGTTTTTTCCATAAATTTTTAGTTTTGTGTCTTTAAGTACAATTTTACATAAATGCCTGTAAATTGAAATTGCCTGTTGTAACCAAACTTGACACGTCTGTCCAGATGCTATTCTTCAACTACAGGGCGCTACACATGCAAAAACCAAAAACTTGTAATTCGCTGCATGGATTCCTACAAAATTCGGTTTGTACAATCTAGGGTCAAAGTGGGCATGGCTTATTACAACAAATGTACATTTCTAGGCATTTGTCATTCCAAATTTTAAAAAATCTAAGAAAATCACTCGTACGTCCTAGAGAGCTTTTTTCAGCACATCCACTGATATGTGACAAATGTTTGGCTCACTGCAACCTATGGGCAATTCAGAAGTCAGTCACCATATTTTCCACAAGTCTTTATTCAAATGCTACCAAAATCAACACAGACTTTCTCTAGATGGCCGATATCAAGTGTTTCAAAGGGTTTTTAGATTGGTCACACAGTGAGTCTGCAGTGATCTTCAGTATCTTGCCATAATGCACAACATTTTCTTTTTAACTCAGTTTTGGATCAAATGCCACCAAAATAACTGACAACACATCTAAAATGATCTCACCAACATCTTGACTCTTTGTAGGTGTTTTAAGTTTAAACTGGCAAAACTATCTAGTTCTGGCACATGTGAGGTCACTACCTCAACTTGTGAGAACATGTTTGCCTCTAACCTGTGGCTCAGTCAGTAAGTCATCTACTTTGGAGAAGTTCCAGGGTTCAAATCTCCAGGTAACAATCAGACTTACTGACAATCATACTGAGCGTAACATCTCCATTTTGTTTGTATACCATGACAATTTCTTCTTCTTTTTTTCACATTAAAAGTGTTTGTGCAGCTTAAACTTTAAAACTTAGAATCATTGAATGTTCCAGGTGGGTTGAATATCACCCAGTAGTCAGGGACATACAATGACACTCTGATCTCAAGATGATGCTGTAAAAATCAAGTGGGCGTTTCTGCAATTATCTCAAAGTCCAAATTCTTTCATCTCTTAATCTCTCAAGTCGTCTTGTCTGTTCTTCTCCTCTGAAAATGTCAAATGTTGCGTTTTTCACAACTTGCTTGAATCTCGATTCCCAATCATTGCCGCTTGCGACTTTATTTATTGCAAAATGTAACTCTTCTTGCTGTTCTTTCATAAACATAAAGAAATGCTAAAATACAATAACAGAATATTAACAAATTAATAATATTATTGTATTATTGTTATAGATACATTTATATGAACTTTGACCTTTCACCAAACTAATTCCTCAGTAGCTTAATTCACAGTTGTCATAGTAATAATAATAATAATAATAATAATAATAATAACTGTACAGAACTTTTCTAAACTAATAAAATGCTTTATAGCAATGAGTATATCATCAAATCAATGTATTTCTTAAATGATACAAACATAATGGAACCACTTTCTCTGTGTGGGGCTCAAAACACAAGTACTGGTCAAAAACTACTCCAAGATTTTTGGCCAAGGGCTTAGCACAAGTTGTTTGTTCACCCAGGTTGGCCATGATTTGAGTTCTGTAGTATAGTAACAATCATTGTAGGAAGTTGTGTGACATCCAGTCATTTATTTTAGCAAGGCATTTGTGAAGGGTTGTGGTAATGGTTTTAATTATTTTTATTTTTTTTCAGGAGAGGTTCAACCAGAGCAGTTTTTAAACTAGCAGGGACAGAGCTGGAAGTCTGGAAGGGACCAAATCCTGGGGACAAATTCATGACTTTATATGGTTAACCATATCATTGAGGGCAGAAAGAGATATTAATTTGAAGGAACTGAAGGATACATGATCACATGATCTATGGGTCAAAGGCCCTGGGAAAGGTCAGTTTTGGGGCCAGCAGCTAACAGTCTGTCTAGGATCTAATTTTTTCAATTTCATCAGTAAGAAATATTTTAAACTGCTTGCAGGTCAGATGATGTACGCTAGTTAGTGTTAGGAGGAGCATTCTGAGTAATCAAGGTGGTAAAGTAAAGTGCTCGTGCATTATTAACTGCAGCATTGTATTTCTGCATTAAGGTCTTCATGTGCTCTTAGTAATACAATGCCTTGTCAAAAAATGCTACATTATTAAATCGATAGTGTTGACCTTTATCCCTACCCTTACCACTAACCTATGTACATGCACAGAACAGCAAGGTAGCACATATCGACAGAACACCGGTGCTCAAGAAAAAGACGGTTTTGGTGATTAATTGTGAAGATACTTTGGCATTGGTTAATGGCTACATACATACATATATTATCATATTCCACATAGATAAAACTTTTTAGAAAATCCGAATTCATAACAGAGTTGGACTTCTGTATTCTACTCTTTTACATACCAACCACAGTGTGATGTCTTCTCCTGAAGGTGCTCTCACAGGAACAACCTGCCTCAAACTCTATGGTAAGAACCTTTTTATGTAATATACAAACAAAATTAATTTCCATGACTCTTTGCCTCCTCTGTAATGTCAAGAAATCCTGAGTTTTAACGTATTTCACATCCAACTTCTGATGAAACATATTTACTTGCCCACTTTTTCCATGAATTGGCAACCTGCCTCCAACTCTATGGTAAGAACCATTTTGCATTATCAGACTAATTTCAATAAAACCCCTTTCTTCTGTTGTGTCAGTAGAAAAAACATTCCTCCTGCTGAATCACAACTTTACCTTTTTTCATTGCTCATTTGTTCTCCTCAGCAGCAGCAGATGACTCTTACATACAAACTAAAATACTTACTGTAGTTTAGGAACCTGAATCTGATAACCGTGGACGCAGTAAGTTAATGTTCAGATATTTTTGTTGGATCTGTTGCTGTTGAGTTCATCATATTGTTTACAGTTTTTCCTGTTTTTCTGAAAGGTAGGACTTCATTATGCATCATTTCATCATTCATGGTATGGGTCTGTTGTGCTGCTGCAGTCATCACCGTCCTGCTTAAACTAAAAAATCAAATCAGGTACTTCTTTCAATCAAAATCTGTTTTGTTAAAAGATACTTTATGGACAAAAATACTGGGACACATACATATTACTTTGTAGGTGACTTGACATCACATACTAAATCCATAGGCATTAATATGGAGTTGGTCCCCTTTGCAGCTATAACAGCTTCCTTCTCTTCAGCGAAAGGCTTTCTACAGGATTTTCTAAAGACTCACAGTCTCCATTCTAGTTCATCCCAAAGGTGTTGGATAGGGTTGAGGTCAGGGATCTGTGCTGGCCAGTCAAGTTCCTCCCCACCAAACTGGGAAAACTATTTATTTATGGACCTGGCTGTGCACGGGGGCATTGTCAAATTGAAAGAGAAAAATGCACAAACTGTTGGAAGATCTTTTGTCTAAAATCACCATACTCAACATCCCTGTGTCTGCTGTGGAATCCTTCAGGTTTCTGGGTTCCACTATATCCCAGGACTTGAAGTGGGAGCAAACAC